AAAACCTAAAAAAAAAGTGTATGTACATACGCATACAAATTATCATTTAAAAAAAAGGTAGCCTTTTAAATTATACAAATTTATACACTCTAAAAAGACTGAAGTCTGAGAACTCTCGTGTAAATATATATTTTTATAAAATATATATTTGTTTGTTCCTGAACTTCTGGGGGACAGTCGCAGCCTGTCATATTTATTTACACGAAACAAAAATTGACATTGATTCTAAATATGTGAATTTATAGTTTATCATGACTTCATTAATTCATTTCGTATCCATACAGATAATAGTAATATAACACACAGTCAATCAGTGGTCGTTATATCTTTATTTACTGTCACTACCAATAATAAACAATTTATTGAGCCTTACATCGCCTCCCAATCAACTATAAATATTTGTAAAAAAAGGGGTTTTTTTTAGTTTTTTAAAAACAAAACGGTATTTGTTTAGAACAAAAAAAAAAAGACATTTTAGCAATTGGGTGGTGCACTGCAGTCTCCAGTTCTGAACTCTGCAGCCTGCAGGCCGCAGCGGCGCAGCGTGTGACCGTGTGTGCTCAGTGCTCACTGTGCTGCCTATTTACTGCGACCAGAGCCAGACTCCAGACACTGACGGCCAGCGCTAAGTGCCACTGCCGGTAGTGCTAACTGCCAACTGCCAAGTCTACCAGCTGCCGCTGCCCAGTCAGTTATTTAAAATTACCGGCTCACCAGTCACTAGTTACCGGACAATGCGGCCACCGCTGCCCATGTCACCAGATCTCACCAAACTACTGTCCAGTGGATACTTTCAAGTTGAATCCGATTCTGATTTCCGAGTTCCAAGTTCCGAGTTCCGAGTTCAAAGTCCAAAACTCACTGCTCGGTGGTGGCGGCCCTATGACTCTAGGCCCTGGGCCCTGGGGCCTGGGGCCTGGGGCCTGGGGCCTGGGGTGGGTGCCTGGGTGCCAGGTGATCACTGAATCTGATTTATTGCTGGCCGGGCCATAAACGCCATTCTGTGTATGATGTCTCAACTCTCAACTTCTCACACACACACAAGAGCAAGAAGAGAGAGAGAGAGAGAGAGAGAGAGAGCAAGGCAGCAAGTCTCAAGGAGTCAAGGACTTAAATCTCAAGCTGCTCAACTCTCAGGCGTCTTCAGGCACGACTCGCACGAGTCAGGGACTCAGGGCCGAGAGTGGCCCAGGCGGTCAGCCCAGGCCCCAGGCCCCAAAGCACCCAGCTCTCAAGTCTCATGACCCATCAACTCTCAACTGTCCACTCCAACCTCCGTTTTGATTTTGATTTTTTTAAAAACAAAAACAATTTGAAAAAAACTTTTTATGCATATTCACACAGTCACTCACAGTCTACAGATCATTTATTACAAAACAAAAAGGTGTAGCAATATATTTATGATTTTTATCCCTCCTCGCGAGGGCTTCGAGATTATGCATCCTTATTATTTGCTACCGGGCGTCATCGCTCGACCAGTAAATACTGATGTGAGAACTGGTTGTGTTAATTATTTTTAAAAATACATCCGCAATTCCGCATCGGCCATCGCCTCCAAGGCTCCAGCCCTCCACTATGACGCTAAATAATAAATATTTGACGCTGTAGTTTCGTTCATAAATAACACAGTGATCAGTGATCAGTTGATCACTAAATACTATTAAATAGTAGAAGAGAGAGTAGTCATCAATATTTTCTAAAAATATTTATTGCGGCTGTCCACTGAAGTATTTTTTATTAATAAAAGTGTTCGAAAGCTAAAAATCCGAGTCTTTTGAGTCTGAGTGCGGGTTTCGTCCTTCGTGTATGTATTTATTGTATTCCCTCAAGGCTCAAGCAAGAGTGTTCATATTATTGTATCTTGCCCTCCCCAAGTCTCTAAGCTCCCACCCCCCAATTTAATTCCTTCGCAACAGTTTTTATATTTCCTCCAATATTTATACCACTCAATTCATAGCTTTCTTTTTCAATTTTCAGAAGGCTATGCTCAAATGCAGTAAGGTGTGTTCACTTTTGAAAAAGGATGCGCCAATTTGACAATGATATCAACCCTGTGTTGACTCAACTAGTAGTGTTCATATAACATCACGCCAAAAACTTTGTTCATATAATTAGTACACATATATACATACACACACACACACACACATATATATATA